GGATCCCGGAAAATTCCCAGCGCAGGATCCTGGGGCAATTCCCAGTGCAGGATCCCAGTGCAGGATCCTGGGGCAATTCCAGGTTCAGGATCCCGGGACAATTCCCAGTTCAGGATCCCAGTTCAGGATCCCGGGACAATTCCCAGTTCAGGATCCCAGTTCAGGATCCCGGGGCAATTCCCAGTTCAGGATCCCAGTTCAGGATCCCGGGACAATTCCCAGTTCAGGATCCCAGTTCAGGATCCCGGGACAATTCCCAGTTCAGGATCCCAGTGCAGGATCCCAGAAAATTCCCGGTTCAGGATCCCAGTTCAGGATCCTGGGGCCATTCCCGGTGCAGGATCCCGGGGCCATTCCCAGTTCAGGATCCCAGTTCAGGATCCCAGTTCAGGATCCCAGTTCAGGATCCCGGGGCCATTCCCAGTTCAGGATCCCAGTTCAGGATCCCAGAAAATTCCCGGTTCAGGATCCCAGTTCAGGATCCCGGGACAATTCCCAGTTCAGGATCCCAGTTCAGGATCCTGGGGCCATTCCCGGTGCAGGATCCCGGGACAATTCCCAGTTCAGGATCCTGGGGCCATTCCCGGTGCAGGATCCCGGGACAATTCCCAGTTCACGATCCCGGGGCCGTTCCCGGTTTAGGATCCCGGGGCCATTCCCAGTTTGGGATCCCGGGGCCATTCCCGGGGCCGTGCCCAGTTTGGGAGACCGGGGCTGTGCCTGCTTTGGGATCCCAGTTTGAGATCTCGTTTTAGGATTCCCGGGGCCGTTCCCGGTTTGGGATCCTGGGGCCGCTCCCGGGGCCGTTCCCGGTTTAGGATCCCGGGGCTGTTCCTGGTTTAGGATCCCGGGGCTATTCCCGGTTTGGGATCCCGGGGCCGCTCCCGGGGCCGTTCCCGGTTTAGGATCCCGGGGCTGTTCCTGGTTTAGGATCCCGGGGCTATTCCCGGTTTGGGATCCTGGGGCCGATCCCGGGGCCGTACCGGGGGCCGTTCCCGGTTTAGGATCCCGGGGCTGTTCCTGGTTTGGGATCCCGAGGCCGTTCCCAGTTTGGGATCCCGGGGCCGTACCCGGGGCCGTTCCCGGTTTAGGACCAGCGGGGCCGCTCCCGGGGCCGTTCCCGGTTTGGGATCCCGGGGCCGTTCCCAGTTTGGGATCCCGGGGCCACTCCCGGGGCCATTCCCGGTTTAGGACCACCGGGGCCGCTCCCGGGGCCGCTCCCGGGGGTCCCGCCGCCCCCGGCCCCGCCCGTTCCCCCCCGCTGGCTCCGCCCGGGGCAGCTCCGACCGGGGGCGGGCGGG